CCTTTCTTTCTTTGCACAGGTGAAAAACCATGGGTATAAGACACTGTCAAAACTGATCAGTGGGATGGCTAGTTTTTATGACCTGCTTTTTTTCTACTTTATTTTATTCTTTATTACAAGGGATGGCTCACTGATTATAGGAGGAGCATATTCAGAAATGAAAGTGTTATAAAAATAAGAGATATTAATAACATTTTTAAATTGGAAAAAATGGAGAAAAGATGGATTTCCTTTTTTTTTTTCTGTGCTTGGTTAGACCCAACCACTTTTTGGTTTTCCTCTCTACTATGTTGCTTAATGAAATTAGCTCCCATTATTTATGCTTATGATTCTCAAATCCAGCCCTAACATCTCACTGACCTTTCATCTCCAACTCCTATTGGACATTTTGAACAAAATGCCTTAAACTCAATATGTCCAAAACTAAACTCATTATGTTTTCTCTCAAAACTTCCCCTCTTTTTAACTTTGCTGTAATTGTTCTCTCAATCACTCATGCTCACAAGCTAAAGATCACCCCAGATTCCTTACTTTCTCATCCTGTACCCCACATCCAATCTGTTGATTTTATCTTCATAATATCTCTCATTTATGCCTCTTTTTCTTTTAAACTGCCACCACTCTGGTATGGACCCTCATGTTCAGTCATTTTTTAGTAATTTTCAACTCTTCATGATCCCAGTGGGATTTTCTTGGCAAGGATACTGGAGTGGTTTGCCTTTTCCTTCTCCAGCTCATTTTGCAGATGAGGAAACTGAGGCAAACAGGGTAAAGTGACAAGGCCTAAGGTCACACAGAGCTAGTTAGTGTTTGAGGACAAATTTGAACTCAAGTCTTCCTGACTCCAAACCTGACACTCTATCCACTATATCACCTACCTGCCATTTATTTATACATAGGTATTTGTATATTTTCTCTCCTATTAGACTGAGATATCTTTGAAAGCAGGGACTATCTTTTATTTTTCTTTGTATCCCAAGCACAGTTCCTGAAATATAGTAGGTGCTTAAGAAATGTATATTGACTGACTGACTACTTCCTCATACGGCACATCAGACACTGAAGTATAGAGTTCAAATACGGTGGTTGTGCAATTTTCAAAGATGAAACTATATCAAATTATAAACACTATAAAATTTGTTCCATTGCATATCTATTACTTTTCCTTTCTTGATTTTAGCATATAAATAATCTTGTGTATATATACATATATATATATATATAATCTGGTAGAGTTGTCTTTCCTATGCATTTGCAGGCTTATATCCCTCTAAGGTTTTTCATTGTTCTTTTAGGTGACGTTGCTTTTCACCACTTTCAGTCCTCTTCCCTGATGCTTTGCAAAAGAGTTGTCCTTGACTTCTACATGATAAGGGATTTGAGCATGTTTTGGTCCCTTCATTTTAGTGACAGTTTTTACAGTAATTGAACTTCTTAGAAGAGGTATCTGTCTTTGCTTTTTTTTTCTTTGCATTTCTTATTTTTCAGATCTCACCCTGTGTTTAAATAGGTTAAGATGGAGCTGTTCAGTTGTATATGGTGCCTTCTTAGATTTATCTTTTTTTTTTAATTCAGTATTCATTTGGGCCCTTTCACTAACTTATTGGTAGTCTGGCTATTTTGGACATGATAGTTAATTTGGAAATGACTCAAACTTTAATGAGTAACCAATCTTTTTGTTTTGTCTAAGATACAGTCAATTTTTTTATGTGTCTACCCTGGAGGAACATAAAATATTAGATAAAACATTTATTAAGTGTTCACTACAATAAGTGCTTAGAATACAAATACAAATAAAAATCAAGTGAAACAAGACAAAAGACAGTCCCTGCCCTTGAGTAGTTTACATTCTTATAGGGGAATATAACACAAGAAAGGGTGCTGAAAAGTGTAAAAAGTAAGGGAGAAATAGGGAAAAATTATATAATTGTTGACCCTTGGGCTGTACAATATTGGTGAGAATTTAAGGATGTATTAAAGAACATTGTAGTATTGTGGGGTGGGAAGTTAAGACTAACAGGTATTTGGCCTATTGTCTTGATATTGGCATAAAATTAAAAAGCTATTCCCTGAGTCTGGTACCATTTGACTCTATTCCTGAAGAAAATCTTCATTATATATGAATGTGAGGCTTCAAGGAGACTACCATAAGATCACAGACAGAGTTGCAAGGGATGTAGAGGCCATCTCTTCTAACTCCTCCTTTAACAGATTAGGAACTGAGGTCTAGAGAGGGAAGTAATTTGCCTAAGCTTATATAGTAGCAGAACTAAAACTTGAAATCAGGTCTTCTAATTTAAAAAGCAGTACTCTTTCCACTGTTTGAACATTTTCTTTTTGATTTCTTAATCTGGAACAGTATTTTCCAACATATTTTTCACTACCTTCCTTTGTAGTGAAGTCACAGAATGTTAAGGTATATGTTGATAAGATATTTAGGGAAAATGTACCTTTTCTGGAATGAACTTTTTTTTTTTTGGTGAAGCAATTGAGGTTAAGTGACTTGCCCAGAGTCACACAGCTAGTGAGTGTTATGTGTCTGAGGCTGGATTTGAACTCAAGTCCTCCTGACTCCAGGGCTAGTGCTCTATCCACTGTGCCACCTACCTGCCCTCTTTTTTTTCCTTTTTAAATAGGTTTTTTTCTAATTATATATAAAGACTATTTTTAACATCCATTAAAAAAATTTTTTTTGAGTTCCAAATTTTCTCCTTCTCTTCCTCCTCCCTCCCTAAGATGGTAAGCAATTTGCTATATGTTATGTATGTACAATCATGTAAAAACACATTTCCATATTAGTCATTAGTCATGTTGCAAAAGAAAAAAAAACAGACCAAAAGAATAAAACCATAAAAAAATAAAGAAAATGAAAATAGCACACTTTGATTTTCATTCAGACTCTATCAGTTCTTGCTCTAGATGTGGATAGCATTTTCCATCATGAGTCCTTTGGAATTGTCTTTGATCAGTCATATTGCTAAGAAGGGCACAATGTTGCTATTACTGTGTACAGCGTTCTATTCGTGCTACTTTTATCAGTTCATTTAAGTCTTCCCAGGTTTTCCTGAAATCAACCTGTTCATCATTTGTTATTTCACAATAGTATGGAATGAATTTTTATACATCTGTGCTAGCTTGGCATTTCAAATACAGTAAATAAAAATATTTCACTAGCCCACTTAACGTTATTTTTCCTACTCATGTCTTGAATAGAGTGCATGTAATTGTATTTGTCTCATACTAATTGGAATTTGCAGTGGGTGACTGGCATGGAGGCTGATCCTGAAGTGTTATGCTCAATAAACATTATTTAATAATGATTATTAAGGGTAACCTTCCTTCATTATTTAAAATCTCCATTGTCTCCCAAGGTTTTACCTTCACTGTCCAGTAATGAATGAAAACTAAATTTAAAAAGCTTAAAGAAAAATAATCATGTACTGATTTAGCCTAACCCACCTTGGACCCAACTTCAATTAATGATGACAGTAATAAAAAAGAATTATAAACAATGGAGCCACAATGTTTGTTTAAACAAGAGGTGATTAAGTATATGCAAATAGGCCACAGTACATTGAAATTGTTTAGCAGCTCCTGTTTTAATTGATGTGCACTTCAGAAAATATGCCAAAGGATTATTTAGCCAAAGAGCTCTGTTTCTTCCTATGACAGATGAAGATGCAGCAAAGCAATCTACTGTAAAAAGTGCTTTTAGAGCTAGGAGCTGCCTCTCAAAGCTGAAGTCATATTCATTAAACCCTCTACTGAAGATTCAATAAATGTGAAAAGTGACTTGTTACATTACTGTCTTGTTTGTTTAGAAGTCAGAAAGTCAACAAGCATTTATTAAGCTTTGGTATGTGCCAGGAACACTCAGAGGGTGAACATCCAGATCTCGTGAGCAAGTAGAAGAGAACCTTCTACCTATTTTCCCAAGTTTTTTTTCCAAAATTAGCTTGCATCTTGGCACATTTCTTTTCTTCCAAGATTTTCTTCAGGACTCATCATGGAGTTCGTACTTCGTGTTGTTCGATAATAATAGTAATTGACATTTATAGAACATTTTAAAGTTTTCAAAACTCTAAGTTCAGTGATCTCACTGGAGCTTTACAACAATCCTATAAGATCACAATCATTTTACAGGCAAGGAAACTGAGGTTCAGAGAAGTTAATTGTAGCCCATGGCCGTACAACTATTAAGCATTAAAGACAGGTTTTGAACCTGGTCTTTCTGACAGTAAATTCAGCACTCTATCCATTGCACCGTTTTGCACCAAAAAAGGAATTCAAAGAGTAACAAATGAGGCATACTGGCCTCCCAATCAGTAAACCTAATTAATATTTGTTTCCTTTTTCCTTTTTTTTTTAGCTTTTACAAAAAATAAAATACTCAAGGGTACAATATACATCCCCAATACATTTTCTGTGGAAGATACTCTGGAATCACTGTAGTAAAGGAAATGGTGGGGTTTTTCTCCCTTTAACTTTACTTAATGGCATATAACTGCATTGGTTCTTTATTTCAGATGCTGATAATTCTTTTGAAATACCACAAGGTGGGCATGAAATTTAAAAGAAATCTCATTTCCTTCTGTCTTCAGTACATAATGTTGATACATTTTTTTTTTTGAATTTCAACCTACCTACTTTTTCTGGACTCAGTAAACTGCATATATTAGGATGCATTGCATTAGATTATGACACTTATTTCCGCTCTCTCTTTCTTTGTGAGAAGAGGGAATAAAGCCACATGAAAGAAAAGCTAAATCAGAAATCGAACTGCTGCCTGAAATGTAAACTGAACAGTACACATGCATTTGTAGGTCTTGGCAAGGTTATAGAAATTTACCCTGAAGCTTATAGGCAAATATCCCTTGTGATAGAAGCCCCCCCTTCCTTCCTCCCTCTCTCTCTTTCTCTTGCCTTTCCAACCCTCTGAAAACCGCATCTGTTTCCTACTGATAGCTTTTAACACACATCCCCTTAATGTCTTCTAACAGGAAGTGAAAACTGAGCAAAGTTTGTGTTCCCCAGCATTGAAGAGTCAGCGCAGTAGCAGTCCCATCAGTTCTGTGAAAGATCCAGACAAGAAAGGCGGGAAAACATCTTTTGACAAGATGTCATCTGAAAGTGGTCACAGCAGCAACTTTGAAGGTTAGCATAACACTTTGATCTGATTTCTTGGCATAGCACCTTGTTTGATGCAAGCAAGCTAATAAAGTGTATGGGGTCTAGGTCTGCTTTTCAAAACAGTGATGGGAAAAGACTGATGAGGCAGCAGATGGCTCACTTTCTAACAAAACACCACAATTCTGGAAAATAAAAATAGGTATTTTTAAGTGTACTTTTTTCTTTTGGTTGGTAAAAAAAAGCAGGACAAGAGTTCTGTTGCAGAAGGCATTCAGTATGAAGATCTCCTATGCCCTAAAGCTCTGAATGAGTTAATTTATGAGATGTAAGTAAATCAGTGCAATCATTTACTTGCAAAACTATACTTAGGGAACAATGGATTGGATCATCCTCTTTTTCCTTTTGTCACAAAAGGAAAAACCGTATTTGTTTCACTAAATCAGCAGGTAGTAAAAGAATGAAGTATGACTGCCTGTCACTTGCAAAATAAAAAATAAAAAAAAGGCCTTCCAGCAGCTTGTCTTCAGTCAATTAAACTAAATGTGCTTAATGAATTTGGTATAAAATGTGACAGAACAATGTCATATTTTGGGAGAAAAACATATAAATTTGATTAATGTTTTTCAAATGCCATTAAAATGTTAATAGCTCATATGCTTGAAATTGCAGCATTACCATAATTTTCAACAATGACAGAAGTGCAAAATATAAATAATTTATTGAAAAGTGGAGGAAACATTTATCACTTCTGAAGAGGCACTAACAGGATTTTCCATTTTAACCAAGTATAATTTAGGATTAGTAGCATTTGTTAAAAGAAAAATATTAAATGACTCTCAGACAGTCCTTTCAGGTATGCTCTCACATAACAGGCTTTCACATTAAAAGACGAGTTTGGTAAAGTGGACTTTTGTGTGTTAATATTCAAAATTTTGGGAAAATATACCCATAAGCCATTGCCTGTACTAAGTTCAGTGAATGTTTATGTTGTCTTGCACATTACAACTTTATGAAATTCAGAGTTTGGAGTCTTTTGCTTCAGTATATGGTAATTGGTGCCTTAATAGAAAGAGCACTGAAGAGAGATTTGGTCTCAGCATTGGGGCTGCACCAAGCTGTGTAACCTTGGGAAAGTCACTTTGTGTCTCTAAGGCTGGGGTTAGTTACTGCTTTGTAAAATTAAGGAATTGGATTAGATGGCCTTGTATCTACCTTTCCAGTCCTCACAGTCTGTGTTTCTGTGAAAAGAGGAACGTCTTGGGGACTAGCAGAATTCAAAAGGGACAGCTATAAGGATTGTAGGGGTTGCAATGAGATAAAAGGGAAAAGTTGAGGTAAGAAAATAAATCTAAGCACAGAATGGAGTTGAACAAGTTCATGCATATTGTTTGTTGTTCAGTTGTTTTTCCGTCCTGTTTAACTCTTCGTGACCCCATTTGGGCTCTTCTTGACAAAGATACTGGAGTGGTTTGCCATTTCCTTCTCCAGCTCATTTTACAGGTGAGGAAACCGAGGCACACAAAGTTAAGTGACTTACCTAGAGTCACATGGCTAGTAAGTGTCTGAGGCCAGATTTGAACTCAGGAGGATGACTCTGGTCCCAGTGCTCTATTTACTGCACCACCTAGCTGCCCACTAAATGCACCTTGCTTCTCACTAAAGACAACCGTCCAATGCCCAGGTTAGCCAGTCGCTATCATTTGCAGACTTTTGTCAGGGGGTTCTAGAAGTGTGAGCACTATTGTTGTAGGCTGTGATTTTTGCCTAGAAGTAATCCTGTTTTGCAGTTGTAGAGGGTATTCAAAATTTTGCATCAACTTTAGGGTCAAAATTATTGAGTAGGAAAAATTACACTAAGCTTTCTGACTTGCCTCTTGAACATTCTTCCAGTTAGGACAAGACCAACAAATCCTTTCAGTTAGTTAAAAGCTTTCCATTACTGGGAAGGGGCAGCTGTTAGCCTCCATGGCTTTACAGGTATCACCATTATGGTCCATTAATGGCTACCTTTGATAAATACAGTAGAATGTGTTTTTAAAAGTAGCTCCTGTTAATGACTTTTGTTTCTGGAAATGCTTCCAGCCCTCCGTTAGTACAGAATTGAATTTTCATGTGTAATGAAAACAATTAAGCAAAAACTGATGCAGTAACCAGGTCTGATAAATGCCAGCAACATTCTGCCCCAGCAGGCCCCCTGACTCTCTGCTGAGGGAAGGGAAGGAGGATTCTAGAGTGTCCCCCCACCCCTCAGATTGTTTTTTTCACAGGACTACTTGTAGGACCACTGCTCTGTCCCCAAATGCTAAAAAAAGAAGAGGGCCCCTTTTCTATAACAGAATTCTTTTTTTTTTCTATAACAGAATTCTTGACAAAGCTTATACAATAAGAGTTAATGCCACACTCTGAAAACTTATTCAAAGACAAAAAAGTATATGGGTCTGGCAGAAGTCTCCAAGTCAGTGTGGGCTATCCAAGTAAAGGTTGACTGTGGCAGTTGATCAAATGTACAGTAGTCAAACATCAGAGGAGACCATGGAGGAAGGAGGATTTGGAATCTAGGACCCAGTCTGAAGTCTTCTGACTGTTACTTACTGCTTAAGAGGTCTTGGGCAAAATTAGGTCATGTCTCTGAGCCTATTTCCTCCCCTATAAAGTAAGGGGGTTAAACTACAAGACTTTGAATGTCCTTTTCAGCTCTAAATTTTTAATTCTATGGCCTTAAAGAACCAAAGACTCATTCTGTACATCAGTCCAAAAGGCTGAAATTGTCTGTCTATGTAACCAAGGAGACCTAAAAATAGATAGATAGATCAACAATCAGTGTGACCGTGGACAAGTTGCTTGGGGTCTTAAGCCTTAAATGAGTTTTCTCATTCATTGAAGTAGATGATAACTATAATTCCTTCCAGCTCAAAAACTCTATTTTATGTATCTCAGATCAAAATGAAGTTAGCTAATACTCTAAAATTACTTCAACCTGGTAAAATGAATCTGATCCGAAAATCACTTTAGCAACTGATCAACTCTCAGTGCCCAGATCTGGCAACACACCTGAGAACTAATTCCATTCCCTATAGATCCACAGGCTCATCCTGTTTACCTCCAGTTCTGCATATAGTGCCCCTAATTTTAGCTTTCCCCCGAGGTGGCTGCTCAGTTTTGTCCTCTTCCCATCTTCCTTAAATAGGAAATCATTTATTCTGGAATGGGAAAAACTGGTACCAGATAATGATTATTTAGTTCCTATATTTGCAAAGTGCTTCTGGTACATTTTAGAAACTGGGAAGTTTTAGTGGACTGGAAAGTAGGTGATGAAATAAACACCTGGATAAACCTGGAATACAATACAGAAGATGTGGTCTAAGAAACACTGAAGGAAAATTAAAAACCAGATACAAGACTGTGACAACTCATCGCAATTGCTGTGATTCAGAGGCCTGATTTGCCCAACTTCCTTTAGTGATTTCTAAAGTAAATAGATTAGAAAATGAACAACAGAGGGGTCTAGGTGGTAAAGGCTGGTCAGGGTGCAACCACAATAGGCTTTTTTTTTTCCTTTCTGATGAAATCCTCTGGATCTAGCAATGCTTCAGAAAGCAAGCACAGGTGAATTGGACCATGTTGATCAAGTGCATATGTATGCACATATATACATATAAGTTCCCATATGGTTTTATGTATACATACAAACAAAACAGTTCAAAACCCTTTTATGACAGCATTCTCCATCTTCTCAGCTTTTGCTCTTGGAGTCATAATTTTAAAATTTAATTTTCTAAGTCATGAACATATAAAAAGCTAACAGACAAAAACGGTACATTAAAGATTCCTGTTTCCAAGGCTTTTTATAGCAAGCTTTGGAAATTACCTGCCACATTTCTCTTTCTTATTCAGCTTCATTAAAGCTAAATTCATTCTTTATTCTTAAAATGGTCGTTCATTTTTCCTGACAGTTCTAACAAAACAGGCTGTTACTTTTAAAATTTCTGTATCCTAGTAGTGGTATCATATATTCTTATATTATTACCAAAGTATTGAAAATATGAATTTTTTAGGTCTCTCACTCTCATCCTCTTTCACTCTCTCTCATCTTTTATCATTCTTTCTCAAACTCTCCATCTTCTCTCTTAGTCTCACTCTCATCTTCTTTCACTCTCATCACCTTTCACTCATATCTTTTCTTATTCACCCTCTCATCCTCTTTTACTGTCTCACTCTTTCTCTCATGCTCTCACCCTCATCCTCTCTCACTCACTATCTGTCTCTGTCTCTGCCACTCTCTCCCATTTCCTTTATACTTCTACATCTTATTTTTTGTTTAATTTCTGATTTTTAAGAGATGGTCATTCCTCAGAGCAGCTGTACTTCCTACAGGAAGTGACAGGATGCCCAGTCCCCCTCCTTGAAAGCCCTTTCATTCTGAACACTTACTTCTAGGATTGAGGACATGAGTGAGTGGAGAACAGAATATCTACATGTCAGCAGAAATCTAAATAGTATTAATTCCCACACTAAGGAGGAAGTCTTCAAAAGCTAGTGAGAGCTTCTTCTAGTGATAAATTTGCCAAGTTTTTCCTTCTTGTTCCCTTTTCAAACTGTTGAAAAACAATGGTTTTATTAAAGGAAAAGCAAAGTCTAGGGTTAAGTCTGTTTCTTTTCCGTGACATATTTCTTAGGGCTTAGTCATCATGGGAATACTAAGACTCTCAGGCCAGGAAGCAGAACATCTGATAAATATCAAAAGTCTCCAGGTTAAAATGAAATGAAACACTAGTATATTTTAACGCTAAATATCATTTAAGCAAAAAAGTTCCTTCTGAAACCCACAACATAACTGATATTTAGTCACAGACCAGCACCAGCAAAGGGTATTAGTATCATTTGTCTTTCTCCAAATGATTTGTTCTTCTCTGATGAGAATCACAGGACAGACTTTTAGATGTGGTGTCTGGAGACAATGACTCAAAGGGAACCTATATCTCCTGCTCACAGTAATATCTCTTTACCTGGCACATTACTTATTT